GATAAAGAATCGTTCGTAGTGTAATGTCAAGATCTATATTCTCTTCAAACACAGCAGGGAGTACACAACTGAGCAGAGGTTTTGTGATGAAAGGGCAAGTCCCCACAGCCAGAGGAACCCAGAGCTCCTGGATGGGGGTTCCTCAGCCAGCGGGCAGCCCCCAAGGAGCAGGACCTGTCCCTGCATTGAGCAGGCAGGAAATGCAGCTCTGCCCGGGTCTGAGCTGAGCCCCAACAACGGGCCACAGCTGCTGTCTATTAATTCTTCAGTTTATTTAATTTCCATATGGCACAGTATTTACTTTCCATATAATTGCCTGCAAATTGCTGGGCCCAGGGACCACAAACAATAGAAGTTCTCTATGACCACTACGAGGGACCAACTGCCCTTGTTTCACACTAATTTTTTATTAGAAACATGTCTGTGTCTGGGATGGAAGAGCGAGCACAGGGCTTAAGGGACATGTCCTGCATGCAGCCAACCCTTGTTTGATTCCAGCATCACGCGCCCCCGGTCCCTGAGCACCAAGTATGGCTTCCTCCCCACCCGCCTCTCCCTCGCCTCTCATCCTCCAGAATAGCTGGCAGTGTGGGCTGTGTCTCCACAAGAGAGATGATATAACAGGGCTTAATAGGCTTCCCTTAATGTGTAAAACCCTGGGTTCAATTCCTGGCACTGCCCCCAAATAAAATAAAACAAACACTTGTTGGGGAATTAGATAAAGCAAGTGATTTTCTAGAGAAACTCTTGTTATATTATTTCTGAAAAGAGAAAAAACATATATGGGTGCCTCCCACATGGTATTTTGATGAAGTTCTTTAGAGAATTCTAGTCAGAGGCCTTAAACTTAGATTAGTGAGCTAACAGAGATAAAGCCTGAAGTTCATATTAACAGAATGGTAAGGGCTGAAAACAGTAGTAATTTCTCATTTAGGATGCTTTATGTAATAAAGACTTTAGAAAACTAAAACCCAAATCATTGTGATTAATATGAGCAAAAAATTCAGATTCAATGTTTCTTTTTCTTTTGGTGGGTAGGGTTAGGTTTAAGCTGCATTTGGCTGGCTGCTCCTGGTTCTGTGTTCAGGAGTCACTCCTGAGGTGTTCAGGGAAATTCCCTTTGGTTCATGTGGTACCCAGGCGCAGCCACATGTCAGGCAAGAACTTTGACCCGTGTGCTATCTCTCCAACCCTCGGATTCAATATTTCTAAGTCACACTGTGGAAAAAGTTTATGTCTAGTTATAGCAACAAGCACTACAGCAAAGAGAAGACGCTCCATCATTTCAAGTAAGGCGAGATCCAGGCAACAGCATTCCAGGGCAGACTGGGCTCCTGGTTCCCGAGCTTTTGCTGATGCAGCTGCTCTTGCCTGACGCTTTAGAAAGGCTTTTTGATTTATAGTTAAAATTTAAAATTACCCAAGAGTTTTTAAAGCAGCACAAAAGCCATATGCCTCTTTCTGTCATCATCTCAGATTCTGCTTTTGATTTCTGCCTACATTTTTGCCTGCGTGTCTGGAATCAAGGTATGGACTAAAAGGGGGGGGGGGGGGGGAGAAAACACAGCTTTAATGTGCAAAACATCACCAAACTATGTGAGGCATTTTAAAGTCATGATTCGAAAATGACACAACTGGGGGGTGGGGTGGGGGTGGGGAATAACCCTTTGGTTTCTATAATCACATTCAGGAAACAAGATGTAGAAAATGCACGAACATTGTTTTAGTGTGCACGGACATTTCTACTTGCTTCCCCTGCACGAGATGCATTCTATTACCAGAATCTGTTCACATGCAGAAAAATGAAAATAGGGACCCTGCTTGCTAAAGGCCAAAAACTAGATTTCCTTAGGTCTTCGCTCCTAGAGGTATGTTCCTAATGGAAGCAATCAGTCACTGGAAGGTTTCTTTCTCTTCTGCTGGTTTTGTTTGAAGGCAGTCACCAAAATCTCTATGAAAGAATATCAGTATCTTTTAAATTCTGCAACAAGGGGATTTTTAAAGCAGCAAATACATCTCTGGCAATTCTGAGTCAGCTCCCTTTCTTTGTTAGTTTTCTCCAATTATTTTTATTGTGATAAACATGAAATTCATAAAGCTTACAATCTTGAACATTTTAGAGTGTTAATAGTATTTTTAATAAATATTAGTAACCTTAGGAATAGCAAAAAATCTATCAAAATACTACTGCTTTTTAAGTATCGCTGTTAAATTATTCTACTGTCTCAGGAGCAATGTTGTAAAAGGTTGTATGCTTCATCCTCAGCATAAATATTTGCCCACTGCAGTGCCTGTGGAGTTTTTTTTTTAAAAAAAAAAAAAACACAGTTCAGTCATTTGGAGTCACCGTTAAGAAAAACAGAATAGATTTTTCTTGAAACACTAAAATCAGAAATTCTATACAACCCAGCATGTTTCATCCTACATATTACTCTAAAGGATAGAAAAACACAAATTTGAAAAGGTATCTGCACCCTTTGTTCACTGCATCATGGATAACAATAAAGAAACTGTGAAATAGATTCTCAAGGGAATGGTGCTCAGTAATTGTTAAAAAGATGAAATCCTGGGGACTGGATAAAGATAATACAATGTATAGGACACTTGACTTGCATGCACTTCACCTGGGTTATAGCCCTGACGCCCCATATGGTATCCCAACTCTGCCAGGAGTGATTCCTGAGTGCAGAGCCAAAAGTAAGCTTGGAGAACACCTGGAAGTGGCCCAAAAATCAAACAAATAAGATTAAATATTGCCTTTTCCAACAATAGGGTTAGAGATTCAAGGTGATTTTGTGAGGGAAAAAAAGTCAGAAAGGCAAATGTAAATGCCCAAGTGGTTCCACTCATTTACAGGCTATAAATAAGAAAAATAAAGAACAAACATTACTCTGAGACTTTGAAAAACAAACTGAATGATTACCATAGGGGAAGGAGTTGTGGGTGGGAGGAAATAGTAGAGGGGATGGATTTGATATGGTAAATGCACTAGAAGTAATGTGGAGATTGGAGTAGGGTCTATATTTTGCTTCCAAACATAGAGTGTTGTAAACCAATGGTAAAGCAACAAAGATATTTTGAAATATATATGATTTCATAATTAAAAAAAGCCAATTCACTTGTGTACCTAGTACCTAAAATTCACTGAAGGTTGGAGCACACCCAGCAGTGCCCTGGACTATCCTAACACCTGGTTCTCAAGGACTGTAAGTGGTGCAGAGCATCAAACCAGGATCTGCCTTATGCCAAGCAATCATACCCCTGGCGAGTACTCTCTCTCTCTGGTCTCTCAAATTATATGTCAAGGTCTAATTTTACCAAAAGTAATACACTTGGTAAATTTACTACCCTCCCCACCAAAATCACTACATTTGCCAAATCTTTTGCTAAAATGTTACCCGCTACAGAAAGATGACGGAGTTTCACCTCTTTACTCATCTTGTCTTTGAAGAGTGGGGAGTAGATAGAACCAGGATGCAAACAATGTTAGGAGGGGAAGCAAGACTAGATGCAAAGCATCCAGAGTTAGCTCTTTGAAGCCTCAAAAGCTGACATACTAGAGAATAAAGCCTACAACTTTGGACTCTAAAAAACATAGTACTATGAAAGTAACAAGTGGCACAAACAAAATACAGTTCTAAAATGTGTTTCTACCTCTATGAGTTCTGTTCAGAGATATTACCAAATACATACCTGATTCGTTAAAGGTTCTAACTATTAAATGCTACTTACCCTCGATGCCAAAGTAAAATACAAATCAATCATTAAACGTGTTAAAACAGCACCAAATTCCTTGAAGTTGTTCTTGGAGAATTTCCTCCTCTAATTAAAGGCTGGAGCAATAGCACAGTGGGTAGGGCATTTGCCTTACACGCGGCCAACCAGGGTTCAATTCCTCTATCCCTCTCGGAGAGCCTCGCAAGCTACTGAGAGTATCCAGCCCACACAGCAGAGCCTGGCAAGCTCCCTGTGGTGTATTCGATATGTAAGAGTAACAACAAGTCTCGCAATGGAGATGTTACTGGTGCACCCTCGAGCAAATCGATGAAGAACCGGAAGACAGTGCTACAGTGCTACAATTAAAGGGAGGATTAAAGAATAGAGAAGGTGTAGAAGAACAATGCAGGGGTAAGGCCCTTTTATTACATATCAAGAAGTCAACTTAGCTTAAAATTGAGTCATTGTGTACTGTTTGTCAGATAAAAACAACCATTCTGGCATGTTCTAAATTACACAGCAATTCTAGCCAGGAACAAACCAACACAGGCCAAACTCAAGAAGAACTGATGATCAAACACAGCCAACCATGTACACTCAGGAGAATTTCCCTAGTATCTGTCTACAAACTCCAGTGAGCTCAGATCTCAGCTATAAACTGTTTCCAAGGAAAACCATCAAAGATTCAGTCCTTTTTTTTGCTATTCATTCACAACAAAAGATATTTACAGAGATTTGACATCCTTTGACATGATGTCAGTTGCAACACATAGCATATCCGTTATATCCGTTCAATTTTACAAAGTACATTTTAATGAAAGCCATGTTGACTTTTTCTGACTTCTAATCATTCAGAAAGTCAAAACAGTTATTGCAATAGTGAGAAACATAATACACAAGCAATATCTTATCAAACATAAACTTTGATTATTTTTTGTATGAGACAAACTTAAGTAGTTTACTTGTTTAAACCAATCCGTTGCCAAATGGAAATGGTACTCTTGAGTCCATGCCAAAATTTGGTTTCTTCATCTCCTTTGCCCAGTCTTGGCTAAAACCTTGGTACTACTCAAAAACAACCAAAATCTTCAAGTAATTTCAATATATCTATCCTTGCCAAAATGATTTGCAGACAGAACTGACTCTATAAATAAGGATGAGTCATCAGTAAGGTTAAAACTGGACCTTCAACTAGCCAAATCTTGGTTTGCATTGGAAAAAAAGAAACAGTTCATAAGTTTGTGGAATTTACTTGGTTATAAAATGAAAGTTTAAAATCTTACCTTGTGATGCCCAAATTCATTCAAAATCGTTCCCAATTTTCTAGTGTTGCTATGCAGTTTCTGGGCAGCAATAGCTGGATGGGGGTCACGCCAGTCAACAGACAAGCGATGGTACCAAAGGCGCTGACTTTCCAAACTGTGAGCTGATTTAACACTTGGGTCAAAACGGTGCACTTCACATCCATCATTGGCCATGTTCACCTCAAACTGGGTGTCATCACTGCCCAGCCTATAAAGAAAGCAAGTGAAACTCAAATAACAAAGAACAGGCAGAAACAAAAAGTGTTGGCCTGACAAAATGAGAGTAGCTAGAAAAATCTTCTTTGTCACGCCATGCCTTCTCCTGTTTTAACACATGACTAACTACAGACATGAAATAAATTTGCTTTAAGGGAAAGAGAAATAGTATAGTGGATAAGATGCTTGCTTAGCTTGTGGCCAACCTGGGTTCGATCCCTGACTTCCCATATGGTCCCCTGTACACTGCCAGGTATGACTTTCAAGTACACAGCCAGAAGTAACCCCTGAGGATCACCAGGAGTGACCAAAAAGCAAATAAATAAAAAGTAATTTGCTTTAACAAAAAAAGCACGATTAACTAAAAAAATTCTTCTGGGTAAAAAAAAGTAGAAGTATCTGCTGTTATGTACAGACCAGAGAATTACACGTTCATGCATGTAGAGCCCTTTGAAGCTTTTGAAAGTTAATTTTTAGAGATATAAATCTTTACTACCAGGATTAAGGCTTTGCATGTATCTGACCCCATTTTGATCCCTGGCACAATATAGTCCCCCAAGCATCACCAGGCATGGCTTTGGAGGTCTCTGAGCAGTGCCAGGTGACCCAGGTAATCCCCAGCACCACAAGACCTGAGCAGCACTGTATTCTCAGGCACTTGCATTGAACTGCCGGCCCGACTGACAGAGAATGATAGTAAGGGGAGTTGGACCCCTGAGCGTTACTGGGCTTCCCCCACCAATAATAATGAAAAAATAGTTAAATGCAATCTTTGTTCTAAATAGAGAGAAATATAAAGAGAATCCAATGAACTAAAGAGAGAGTACAGGTGTTAAGGTTTTTCTTCCACCCTGCCAATCCCAATTCAATCCTCCGCACTGCTTATGATCTCCTGAGCACAGGGCCAGGAAGAGAGGCTGAGTACTGCTATATATAGCCCAAACCCCAACTCTCTCACAAAAATAACAGAAATAGAATTTATTTTTCGATATAGTTATTTATAGTTTTCGATAAAAGGTAAATGAAAGTGGTCTTACTGGATGTCGGACTTAGGAAGCCAAAGAGTTACCTCACCAACATTCACATCAGTAGGGGGGAAATATTGTGAATTACTTGTACTTCAGTATCCAGTAGATAGCACATCATCTGGGGAATTCATATACTTAAAACTTTCTTATTTACTCAGAAATATTCCTTTTTTTAAACAATATATTTAATCACACTGAATAAAGTAATAAACTGCATTTGGATAACAGCTGTAATTTTTACTTTTCTCGGCTCAAAATAGTATCTTTTTTCAATTTTTTATGGTTCTTTTAGAAGATAACTTGCATGCAAGCAGTATACTGCACCACAAAGATATGAAGGTTATAATTCAGTTGGTTTTCTATGTGCATACATCCGTATAAATAGTACAGAAAATAGCCATCTCATAAAATTAATTCATGCCCTCAAAATAGTTCTTCTTCAAGGTTAGTTTAAACTAGTCAAGCATATGATAGATATAAAAAGCAAGAGGAAAACCAAATGTAAGATGCATGTAGTGGTATAAAACTTTACCAAACACTGGAAAGTCAGGAGTTAAATTTGATTCATAAAATTCCAAAGCATGAACACCAGATATAGGAACAAAAATGGAATCTTTGAGGTCATGGGAGTGTAGGAAATTATCCATTTACTGGACAGTAAACCTCCTTGAAGAAAAAGGTTAAGGGCCAGAGATACAACTCAAGGGGGAGAAAATGTGTGAGTTCTGGATTTGTCATGTCCCCCTTTCCCACTCCAGCATCAATCCAATTTTTTTTTTAAGGATGAAGTAAAGGGCCCAATCTTGCTCAATTTCTAAATTGTAAGTGCTGGGAAGTAGCTGATGGCCAAAAACCTACAAAATGCTGCTTGAAATGAGAATGTTATTCAGGGGGGTCTGGAATTCCCAGAAGAGATCACACCATAGTCAGCCAGGAGTGAAGTGGGCTCTCTTTTGTATAAATGACTTCTTCCTGTATAAATGAATCTTTTTAGAACACTTTCTGTGAATGAGGCTGTACACTAAACATCAGAGACACTATCTTTGATCAGAAGAAGCTCATAGCTAGAAACAAGATTTTAGAACAAATAACAAACAGGACAAATAACTAGATAGAATTTTATTGCCAAAGGACAATTTATAAGAAAATCTTTTTTTTTCTTTTGCTCACCTGATATAAATGAGAATTCTCTGTAGAAAATGTTACTTTACAGAAATTTTGATATTGTGGTTATACCATGAAGCAAGAAATATAGATCATAGGTCTAGTTTCTGCAGGTCTAAATCAATTGTTCCCTTCCTGCTATCAAATCTGTATTCCAGAGTTAGGGAAGGTAGAAGGTAAAGTGCCTGTACTCTTAGGGACAAGTTCCCAAAGTTACACACAGCATTTGGATGCTTGTCTTGTTGCTGAAACCTAAACCTTTGCCTAGGCAATATCAACTTCATAAAGTGGGCCTTTTGCTGTAACCTTGGGAGTTGACAAAGAAAGAAGGGGAGAGTGAATACTGGTGAGCAACTAGCAATCCTACCATAGCCATTTATTTTTCTTTTCACTTTGTTTTGGGGGGAGGGATGGTTCCCATCTGGCTGAGATCAGGGCTTACTCCTAGCTCTGTACTCTACTCAGGGATCACTACTGATGGTGCTCAGGAGACATATGACATGTCAGGGATCAAACCAAGAATGGCCTTAACCCCTGTACTATCTCTTTTGCTTGTCAACCACTTTTAAAACAGGTTAGCAGTTAAATATGTATAGCCAAAGGTTTCCTGAAGACTATAACCAATCCTTCAATGAGGGAAGAAATAAAAAATCATATAACTGATTCTTGTGATATCATCCTAATATGTTAAGGATTTGAGATCACAATGAACAATTTGGCATAGACAAGCTATCAAATCTGAATGTTGTTGAAGAAATAGAAGGGGGATTAATTTCCAAAGGTACCAGAAGAGCTGTCTCGCCCTTCTAACATTTCAGAGACCAGTCACCCGGTTCTGTGAAAGATGTTATATTATTATGGAAGATATTCTATTAAGGATTTTATGGGGATGAGGGGCTAGAACAAAATTTTTTAAAAGGATCTATGACTTTTTTTGATTTCTCGGTCATATCTACTTTGAGTTCATGCTGTGTTAATTAAACCATTATAATTAAAAATTGTTGGCTCTGGAGTGCCTCCATTCCTATTGAAATGCCTATGGCAACTGAATGTCCTAGATTTCTTTTTTTTAATCAAATATTGGATTTGTAGCCTGAATATGTGTTATGTGTTGCCTACCAAGTTTTACTCTGCCTTACACTGAGAATTAGTATCTTGCAACCTACCAAAAGGAGATAGAAAATATTTATCTACCATTATACCGTCTTAAATTTTAATCTCTCTCTCTCTCTCTCTCTCTCTTTGGTGGGGGTGGGGGTCATACCCAGAGATGTTCAGAGGTTACTCCAGGCTCCAAACTCAGAAATTACTCCTGGTGGTGCTCAGGGGACCATATGCCAGGGATTGAACCCGGTTTGGCTGTGTGCAAGACAAACATGTTACTCACTGTACTATCTCTTCAGCCCCAAGTTTTCTCTTTTATGCCCAACCCTCACTCTGAAAAACAACCTTTGGCATGAAGAATAAAATAGGTGATTTTGCCAAAAGCTAGAGATGAGTTTAGTGGGTGAGCCCAGGACTTACCCATGTGAAACACTGAGTTCAATTCCTAGGTTTGCAAATAATTGTGACATTATTTTATGCTTCACTTGTACTCCCATCCCCATGCCCCACCCTTCATCCCATCCACTATCTCCTCACATAACACCTCTACTTCGGAAGATTCACAGAACTATCCTTAACTAAACATGCTTTCCCAGTGAGAGAGGGGGAGGAGAAAAGCAACTTGGGAATATTCAAGGTTTTTTTCCACCTACATTATGGTAATCACATTCCCAGATTTTGCCCCCCCCAATAATAAACAAATAAATAAACAAAACTACCTAACAAATCAAACCAGCAGCCATGTTCTATTTTTCAGATATTGGGAGAAATTTGTATTATCTGTGTTATGAACCCACAGACTCTCTTTGTTTCTCTTTTCTTTCCTCTTGTTGGTAATATATACAATATCCCTCTCCTTTTCTTATCTTTTTTAATTGTTTTTGTTTTTTGAGTTTTGGGGCCACATCCAGCAGTGCTCAGGGCTTACTCCTGTCTCTGAGCTCAGGAATTACTGCTGGCAGGGTTCAGGGGACTATATAGAGTGTCAGATTGTGCAAGGCAAATGCCCTACCTGCAGTACTATCTCTCCTGACCTCTTTTTAAAAAAATTTTTAGATTAACTTTTAATTTAATTTTTGAAACTGAATCACCATTAAATAGTTCCAAAGCTTTCATGATTGGGTTTCAGTCATACAATGTTCCAATACCCATGCCTCCACCAGCTATATTTCCTCCAACCAATATCCCCCTTATCCCTCCTGCCATATTTCTCCCTCTAGTCTACCTCTATGGCAGACATTTCCTGACCTCTTTTTAAAACTTTTTTTTGCTTTATGGGTCATACCTGGCAATGCACAGAGATCACTCATGACTCATACACTCAGGAATTACTCCTGGTGGTGCTTGGGGACCATACAGGATGCTGGGAATCGAACCCGGGTTGGCCACGTCCAAGGCAAAAGCCCTACCTGCTGTGCTATTGCTTCAGCTCCATCTTAAAAAAACTTTTAACTGGTCTATTCTACCCCATTTCAAAAATGAAAAGGCTGTGATTTTAATGTCATGAAACTGAAGTTCATGGAGCACATAATCCCAGAAAAAAATGTCTTTATATTAATTCAGCAGTAAAAGTTTTGTCTCCTGGAGAAGAATCTTTAAACATCAGAGAGAAGGTAGAAGATGCCGGCTTCGGAGCTGGGGAGCAGGGCAGGAGGGTTGCACAGATGAGGAAGGGCTGGGCAGCCTTCACCTTCTGGCTCCTGCAGCCCTCACGTCTTTCTCTCCTCCCTGGTCACCCTCTGTGGTTGCAGTGTCCTCTGTGCAGTTGGGATGGGAAGGACCAGGCACAGCAGGGCAGGGTCTTTCTACTTCCCATGACCTCTCTGCTTCCTGTCTTCCCCACTATCCCACCACTACCCCAACATTGCCAAAGGCTGAGAATTCAGGTCCTGCCTTCTCCCTTGTGTTTCATTTTCAGGACTTCTATATCCAGCCTGAGTCTCCATTTCTCAGCATCAACTGAAATGTTTTCCACTGACCATTCTCTTCCTCCGAGGCAAGAAATTCACCCCAGAAGAGGAAAGTACTGAGTAACAGCACAATCAACAATGTGTCTAAAATCCAAAGCATTTTTAAGGTGGGGGGGCAGTGGCTGGGGATGATCAGGGACTATTCCTGGTTCTGTGCTCAGGAATAACTTCTAGTATTGCTCAGGGACTATATGTGGTACCAGGGATTGGACCAGGAATAGCAGCACGCAAGGAAATTTGCATGTTGGCTGGAGGCTGGAAAGATTGGGTTATTCTATCTCTCTAGCTGCTAGCCAGAAGATTGTCTCTAGTTTCCAGCTTTCAATGAAGCATTTTCATGATTTTAATCAAGTGTTAACCCCTGTAATCGATTCATTTCTTTACTCTGTGGGATTCACTGTTCTATCTGCCCTTTACAAACTTGATTTGGAATAGTGAACATTAAAATCAAAGTACTATATTCTTGCAAATAATCAATAGTCTGAAGTATTACAGCTGAACCATTCTGTATAAAAACTCTGAAGTAAAAGCAAAAAGGAATTTTTAAAAAATCACTCCAAATAAAATGGCACTCCGGTTTCATTTTAGTCCATTATATGCTTTAAATGAAATTGTTTCTGGGTGCAAAATATTATGCAAATTATAAAGGCAGTTTAGAGCAAGAAAATTGGACCAAGCTGAGATCTCCAATTTGCATGTGGTACTATGCAATTATTTTTATGACCTACTTTCATACATTTTTAATATGAGATAAAACAAACTCCACTGTCACAACTTCGCATTCTTTCTACATGCTCAATGGGCTCTATAGCTGATGGGCTCTGAACAAAAACAGGAAGAGCTCTATTCTAATCAACTGATGAGCAACTCATTTCCTAATCTCAACCTTCTTAAGTCTTACATAACAGCTTCCTCCTTCAGCTCCCTCAAGCATCATTCATTGGGTAACATTTTTTTTTCTGGGTTGGGGGCCATACCTGGGGGTTATTAGAGGCTACTCCTGGTGTGATGCTTGGGGGTTAATTCCCAATATTCAGGAGACTCTGCAATGCCAGGGATCAACCTGGTAAAAAACACTGCAATGCAAAACACTAACTAGCCTTTTCTGTCATCTTCCCTGGCCCTTGTAGCAAACATCTGCTTACTTTGTACTAAGAGCCTGTGATAAATATCCTCAACCTTTGTTTACTAATACAAGACTGTTTTTATTGTCCTAAAATTTTTCTCATTTAAAACTTTTGTTGAAAAAAAAAGGCAGAACCAAACAAACGAAAAAGCAGAGAACAGACTGATAGTTTTGGGGGTAAGGTACTGGCCTTTCCTGTGGCTGATCCAGATTTGGTCCCCAGCACCCATATGGCCTTTGGAGCCCCATCAGGAGTCAGGAGTAAGCATTGAGTACTGGGTGAGCTCTCCAAATCACATACACACACACACTCACACACACACACACTTTTCTTAAATATCAATTTAAGAATTGATATTTTCTTAACTATCAATTAGAATAATAATCCAAGTTGAGTACAATCTGACATGAATGGCAGTCTCTTTGGCCTTACCTTTAGGAGACAGGCACTTAGCATCATCCTAAAGACAGCTCTACTCAGGATTCCTGACCAGGCCAGAGAGGCAGCTCAGCAGCAGAGTGCATGCTTTATATGCAGGAGGCCCAGGTTCAATCCCTGAGCACCTCCAGGAGCACTCCTGTCCTAAACATAGGAACCGGGTGAGGGGGGGCAGGGGAGCACTCTGTCCTTTTTTCTTTTTTTCTTAACTGAATCACCACTGAGATACACAGTTGCCAACTTTTCATGATTTTCAGTCATACAATGTTCCAACACCCATCCCTTTACCAGTGTACATTTCCCTCCACCAACGTCCTCAGTTTCCCTCCCCATCACCAGGCCAGCCTCTATAGCAGCTCCTCTTCTCTTTCCCCCACCCCCTCTTTTTTTTTAAGGCACTGTGGTATGCAATATTGTCACTGAAAGGGTATCATGCATATCACTTTTCCTCCTTCCAGTACTCAGTTCTTGTCAGAGAGATCATTTCCAACTATCATTGTCGTCATGGTCCCTTCTGTCCTAACTGCACTCCCCTCAGTATCCCCTAACTTTCAGCGAGTTTTCTACTATGAACCAGTTCCCCTGGCTCTTGTTTTGATATCTTTGGGTATTATTCACATACATGGGTCGTTGGTGCTGTTATTTTTTTTTAATATCCCCACAAATGGCACTCTGTCCTTCTTAGTACAAATCACAGAGGTAAAGGACCTCTTAGAGAGAAACAGGCACATATTAGAGTCTCCAGGACTTTGTAATGACTCCAAGAATCTTGCCCAAGACCCTTGCCACATAGCTTCTACACAGTCTAAGGGACACAGTGTTCCAAACAGAAATAATTCTCTTTACTTGCCTTTTTCTTTTCTTTTTTTTTTTTTGAGTTATACATCACTTGTAAGTTAGGACTGTTTATATGAGTGCTTTATTTTTTGTGAAATAGTCTCATTACTTTATACTCACCCTTTTATAAAAAGCTCTCTAAATCCATTTGTAAAATTTAGGTCAGCTGCAGACTGAATAATTGAATATCAATTTCCACCCACAATTTTGACATCTCTCTCCTTCCCTCTCTCTCTTAATAAAAAAAAAGTATACGCAGATTCACTGGTGACAGAAAACACACTAGCCCAGCAGTGACCACTGTCATATCCAAACTACATATCAAGGGGTTGGAGCTATAGTACAATGAGTAGGGCATTTGCCTTGCACACAGCTGATCCAGGTTTGATCTCCAGCACTCTATATGATCCCCATACCACCAGATGTGATCCCTGAGCACAGAGGCAGAAATAAGCCCTGAGCACAACCAGGTACAGCTCCAAATCAAAACAAACAAAAAACCTGAAACAAAAAGAAATGTATTAAATTGTATGGCATATGACTTCACCTATGGACTCATCTACATATGTGTGGTGGGTGGGGAAGACATACTTATTGATGCTCAGGGGTTTCTCCTGGCTCTGCTCTCAGAAATTATTCCTGGCAGTACTTAGGGGGCCATACAGGATGCTGGGGATTGAACCCAGGTCTGCCTAATGCAAGACAAGGGATGATCCCTACTGATCCGGCCCCATATATACCCATTCTCGCAGTGAAGATGGAAATCACCAACTTGCCACCAGCAGAATGGAAGTGAGCAGAGCCAAGTCACATTGGGTGAACTGTCAGTGCCTGTTGTTACTCTGCAGATTGGCAAGGACAGGAGGCAAGGAACAGCCCCCATGACACACTGCAGCCCTTCACAGCTTCGTGTTACTGAGAAAACCTTGACTGCCTACCTGTTTTCTTTGGATGCAAACATTACTTACCCTAAAGAATAGAGGCGGCACTGCTTGCTGCGGATTTGATGAGCTAAGCCGAATCTGTCATCAAGACAGACAGACCAGGGCTTCTTTGTGGGGCTGGAGCCCGCAGCCAGGCTGCCTGTGCTCATGTGATCACACGCAATCTGTAAGGATAGGAAATCAATGTGAATAATTTAAAATGCTGGATGATAAATTGCAGGTAGAAACTTTCTGCTTCCCTGGTCCTTGAAAAATCCAGTCGGGAGAGTTATGTTCTCCACTGCTAACTATGCCTCTCCTTGGGGAAACACAAGACAGCTGGGAAATGTTTGGAGGAATCTCAAGTCCCAGCTTTTAGGCAACCTTTACAGGCAGGTTGAAAGCAAAGTAAAGAAAGAGCCCCTGTAGCTCTGTGCCAGGGTACGGGGTGGGGGGAAGGGGGACAAAGTTTAAAAGTTGAGGTGGGAGGAAGGAGGAGTCAGGAAAGACATTATTGTTGTTTTGTTATTGTTTGGGGGTCATATACCACAGAGCTTGGGGGATACTCCCAAGTCTGTGCTCAGAAATTGCTCCTGGAGGGGCTGGAGCGATATCACAGCAGGTAGGGCGTTTGCTTTGCACACAGCCAACCCAGGTTCGATTCCCAGCATCCCATGTGGTCCCTCAAGCACTGCCAGGAGTGATTCCTGAGTGCATGAGCTAGGAGTGACCCCTGTGCATTGCTGGATGTGACAAAGGAAGGAAGGAAGGAAGGAAGGAAGGAAGGAAGGAAGGAAGGAAGGAAGGAAGGAAGAAAGAAAGAAAGAAATTGCTCCTGGAGGTGGTCAGGGGACCAAGGATTGAGCCAGGGTCTCCTGCATGCAAAGCAGATACTTGGTTATTGAATCATTTCTCCAACCCACTCAGGAAAGACTTTGAAGAGGTGTATCCGTCTTTAGGGATAAACATAAGTTGACTCCAAGGCTGAGAGCCAGCAGGGCAGTCCAAACACAAACAACAGTGTGTGCAAAAATTAAAAGTCCTAATTATCAGTACCATGGGCATGTCCCACAGAAGGACAGAGGACTAGACATCCCATATCTCAAGCAGGTTATGGGGCCACCAAAGTTCAGAAAGGAAGCACCATGTAATCCACAGAACACAGAGGCCAAAGGCCCAGGAAAATGAACACCTTGCCCTGCAGTCTCTGTTGACTATCTTCCTCTCAAACAGAGTTCTCAGGATGTATGTCCCAGAGCAGAAGTGCAAGCAAGCACCCCAGTTAGAAAGGAGGCTCTTCCTGGGCTCACCGAATGAAGCTCTTCTCTGAACTCATCTATCAAAATTAGATTAGAAAACCAGGAAAGAACTTGTAGTTATGGCAAGTGGATGCAATTCTCTGATTGCAAATGCACGTGGCGTGTGTCGACTTGGTTAAGGTGCTGACTGTGGCTGAGACTCGGTATACGTGCAGTCAAGGCTGCGGGAACCCAAGAGAACCAAGGCGAATGAATTCTTAAGGAGCAACTGGCTGTCCCCACCTAATGATTCAAACTCTCACAGCCATCTTTCAATCTAAAGCAGCTCTTTTCATCCAAGACGGCAACTCCAGTTGCAGAGAATGTTTTCGGGGCCACTGTCTTCAGTCATTGGGAAACGTAACCACAAACAAATTTCTTTTTAAGAGATTCTAGAAATGTTTGATCCCTTCATTCAACTGGTTTTCCAAAATTTCCATCTGAAAAAAACATGTTATATGGAGCTTATCTACACAGCATATGGATTTATTTATAGCTTATTTAAACCTCCCTTACTCCTGCTGGAATCGAGGGCTGGCCTGGCAAAGTTATCCCGGTACATTTATCAGAGACTAGAGTCTTTTGCCAGGAATTGGACATTTTAGAGGCAAGCAAAACCCTAGATATTTATTATTTTTCTTTGCCTCGGTATCTTACTACTTTTCTCTTCACAACACTAAAGGAAATAATCATAATAGAAAACAGAACTGAATCTTCACTCCAGTAACTAGTACAGAACACATTAACTGGGTGCATCAACATGCTAGTTTGTATAATTTGTTTTCTTCTAATCTTCCATAGATAAATGGAAAGGATGCCCTTGCCGACCCATTCCTAGTCCCTGCTCATGCACCCAAGGAGAGACATTGAATTTCATTAACCAGATGTCAGTGTGGCATGTTCACTGGGTCTGTTTTGCTAGTTGGCCAGTTACTGTGCTTTAAGCAGCTGTGTTACTTCAGTACCTTCCTTGCTCTCTGCTCCAGGCCTGTCTCCTGTAGGAAGTTAATGGAAGGTTCTATGTACACTCTGGCCTCCCCAGAGTTTGCCTAGTCTTCCTAATCCTGAGTCCCTTTACCCCAGTGCAGCATCCTGGAATATTTTTATTAAATGAAATGATGGGGCCATAGAGATGGCTCCAAGGACTAAGTGTGTACTTTCATGCAGGAGATCCATGCTCCCTCTCCATCATCACAAGGTACCCCAACTACTGCTGGGACCAATCCCAACCATAGACCCAGGAGTAGACCCTGAACACCACCAGGTGTAAACCCAGAAAAAAAGAAAGATGGAATGATGGTTCGCGTTTGCTATGGTTCTGTTTTTCTGCCTAAGGATCCATAGCCATATGGTTCTGTTTTTCTGCCTAAGGATCCGTTCTCGTTTCTAATAGCCTTTGAGACCATCGAAACTTAATTCCAGACTCTGCACATTATCTCTCAGAATAAAGTTTATCTACATTCTGATGGACTTAGTAGGCACTGAAAAATTAATATTCCTAGAAAGATAGTGCAGGAGTTCAGGACTTGCCTTGTACATGGCTGACTCTGGTTCAATCTCCAGCATCATATATGGTTCCTTTAGTATCAGCAGGAGTGACCCCTTGGATCATAGCAATATACAAGTAGGACAGTTGCCTTGCACACATAAGATCCATGTTCAATTGCAGATATCCCATATCATTCCCTGAGCCTGCCAGGAGTGATCCCTTAGCACAGATCCAGGATTGAGTCCTGAGCACCACCAGGTATGGCCCAAACACAAAAAGAAAGAAAGAAAAAACAAAGGAGCAATTGCCAGAGCACAGAGCCAGGTGTAAGTCCTGAGTACTTACCAGGTATGGCCCCTAAACCAAAAAATAAATACATAAGAAAGAAGCAAGTAAATAAATCCAAATTTAAAATAGAAAAAAAGCTAAAATTAAAGAAGAAACCGTTCCTTCCTTTCTCTTTGTAGTTGTGGTTGTGATCGCTGGGGGTTACAAGCACAACGAGTGCTCACACATTCTGGTCCTGGTCCTTGCCAGGGGTCCCTATGCTGCTCACACATATTCGGCAGGTGTTGCACTCCTAGTTTCAGTGCTCATATGCTTCAGCTGTGCTGTTCGCCAGGGCTTGCACTCTTTAATTGTGCTGTTCACACAGTGGGTTGCAGGGCTCCAGAGCTTACATACTCTGCTGTGGTACCAGGGGGCCAAATAGCAGAGATGCTGAGGTAGCACTGGGCTCAGGTAGGCAACCAATTATCAAATTCACAGCCTCAAAATTATAAAGGAGAAGCTTTTCTACTGAGTTATCTCTGAGGTCCCTAAATTTAAAAATTACCAAAACCAAAAACCGATAAAAGAACATAAAATAAAAACATTTTTTTAAAAACCCACAAGTTATTATAAAATAAAAAAATTTGAAATCAGAGGAGAGAAAAGTTCCTGGGTCTTAATCTAGATCCAAATGGTGGAAGCACACTGAAGGACAGTGCTGGAACATTCTATAACTGACACCCAGTCATGAACAACTTTGTATATCTCACTATGATTCAATTAAAAAAATAAATTTAAATAAATAAATAAAAACAAATGGTGGGCACAGACACCTGGAAACATGCATTTAATAGCTGCCAGTGATCTTCATGCAAAGTTTGTTGGAAGCTGTGAGTTTACTAGAATTCTTTTGTAATGCCCCACTGACATGGTCCAACTTGGTCTCATCTGTGTCTTAGCAAAGGATGCAAGGTGTAGCCCAACACAGTGCCCCCTCTCTCCCCACGAGCTCCACCCCCTCACCACCCACCTACCCACCCACACAACACACACACACACACACAGAATCAGGACTATGATTGTAAGCATGAAACAATAATATTGGAGCTGAAGAGACAGGTCAGGGGATAAGACACTTGCCTTGAATGTTCAGTCCCCAGCACTACATGGACCTTTGAATACCATCAGGAGCAACCCCCTGAGCAAAGAGGGTAGAATAGCCCCCAGAGAACTGCCAGGGATGACCTCAAAACCTCAAACAACAACAAAAATAGCAGTAATAATATTAATCATGTCTAATATTAGCGATTGATACCTCAGTTTTATAATCTGAGCTAGAGAAGAATCAGGGCTTTATGTGTAGAGGGGAAGGAGATCCCAAGCAGTGCTCACAGGGACCTTCAGGAGTCGTCTCAGCATGTTGAGCTGTTGGTTCCATGCAAGGGTCAAAAGATGCTCTGCTGCTGGGGCTGGAGCGATAGTACAGTGGGTAGAGTGCATGCGGCCGACCCGGGTTCAATTCAACAGCATCCCATATGGTCCCCCAAGCACTTCCAGGAATAATGCCTGAGTGTAAATCCTGCCTGTGCATTACCAGGTGTCACAAAAAAAAAAAAAAAAGTTGCTCTGCTGCTTAGGTCCTGAGGCACCAGGGATTACTTGGGCCATGCCAGCAGTGCTCAGGAATGTCCAGGTCCATACCTGACAGTGATTGGGAGCCTCCAGGGCTGAGCCTGGTACAGTGCCTGACAATGCTTAGGGTGCTGTCAGGAATTAAACCAGGACTAGCTACCTGCAAGGCAAGTGCCTTAACCCCTAAACTATCTTTGCAGTTCCAGAATCAGGACTTTGAGATTCAATTGTTCCTCCTTTGTCAACAATGGTGAGTAGGGCGCTACTCTAAGCAAAGATGACAATTTAAACATTTCTTTGTTCTCACAGATTTCCTGCTACATGCATATATCCCTGTAGGCAAGACGTTCATTTTCTTTCAATCTCTGCTAATGTTCCCCTCTCTTCTCCAAGTGCAAAAAAAGAAAACACAGGAGTTTTAGCATTTTTCTGTTTTCATCACTTATTAAGAATCTCATTGATAGACGTTAGCTTTTGAAAGCAATTAAGAATACTCAGTAAAATTCTACTCCAAAAATTAATTAAATATTGATTTTTCAAATTTTCTTGTTAAGATTTATGGCTAGAACCTCAATAAACACTCCAACAAGCAAAAGAACGGAGGGCAGTAACTCCTAACTAAGCTTTAACTCCAGTAATTATGTTCACCTCTCTAATTCCCTTGTAATTTTAGCCACACAAAGCAAATTAGAACCGGACGAAGGAAACTAGATTCAAGGGGAAAAATTATTCTCTGAAATGCCTTTCAGTTATTTAACTTAAAAGAATCTAATTTATTTTCATTTCATTTTGTGTCCCAAAAGCTTGATTTGCACTTCCTGCCAACCCATACGTAAAATTTGGCAAAAGGAACCCTTAAAATTTGGGAACTTTTGGCAAGAACCACTTCAATGATCTACTAAATGATTATATAATACAACTATTTGGGAAGATTAAAGCTCAAGGTAATATCTACATTGCTGTGGTTTTTATGTCAATTTGTGTGTGTGTGTAAATTATAATAGATACCCAAAAGTTGTGACATCTGTGTCTCCAGAGCCTATATTCCTATGTTATTCTTATAAATAGATGGATGGGTACATGGATGGACAGCTAGATTTTGAAACATTTTTGTTCTAAACAGCAACTGTTGCTTAGATTAATTTTGTAGTACAAGGCTTGCTTCCTGCAGGCATATGGTTTGGGGGTTGCCACAAAAGCTGGCTCAGGAGACTCAGAACAGAGCACTGAGCTTATGATTTAACCATTTCTGATTAGCAGCCAGCAGTGTGGGGCCCTCTAACATGCAGTCAAGGTCTCCCTCATTAGAAAACAATACCTAATTAAAAGAGCCCTAACCTCTCAGGTTTCATTCTGGAAATGCAATGCAGGGTTGGAACCCTGCCTGGGAGCTCCCCAGACCAGGTGACTTCCTCTGGCAGCCTCAAGCCATGCTGCCCCAGTCTCTGAGTTTCTGTTCCAGATCTCCCTTGGCCAGTGGAAGTGTTCCCTGGTGGACTTCTCTCTCTCCATCCTGTTGGAAAACACAGAACTCTTCTCACACCCCAGCTCTACACCAACACGTAGGTGCTTGATTTGAGGTTCTAGTCAGTGCCAGCTACAGATAAGTTGCTCAACTAACATGTGTCACAGCACAGATAAATCAACAACAAACATAGCCAATGCTGAACCATGTAGTGCAAACCTCAACACAGATCTCTGGCAGTATTTTTTTTTAAGTTGCATAAAAAGCTGGAGGTGGAATTTGCTTAGGACTTTCAGAGATTTGAAGCTTTTTTTCCCCCTCTCCCTTGCCCATTATGACTCACTAGTGCTGTGAATTTAGGTAATAGTGACTCTAATATTCTGCCAGCTTTGTAGGCTCTCGTGTTGAGTTCTAAATGAGCATCAGCCCCCAAAGATCTGTAGTCCCCAGAGAGAAGTGGGAGGAGAGCACTGTGCACTGTTTGGTAAAAGATTATGATAAGGAACCAGTTAGATCATCTCTGATGAGTCCTCCCCATGACCCAGAGCACACAGAAACAAAGGACTTTGCTTGACTAAAATGGGTCCTCGTTAGGAAACCATTAAGAGGTCTGAAACTTCACCTCATTCTCTCTGAGGTTAAAAAAAAAATGAGATAAGAGCCAGGAGGATTGGGGCTTAGAAGCCAGCCTCGCATACTGGGGGGGGGGGGGGGGGGGGAGCAGCTGGGATAGAGAGGGACAACTAAGTGAATGATGCCTGGAGGGCTCAAGCAGGATGGGAGATGTATGCTGAAAGTAGACTATAGACCAAACATGATGGCCACTTACTACCTGTATTGCAAACCATAACACCCAAAAGGAGAAAGAGAGAGTAAGAGGGAATGTACCTATGACTGAAGCAGGATTTTGGGAGGAGGGCATGGGGGATGGCGGGAGGGATACTGGGAAAATTTGTGGTGGAGAATGGGCACTGGTGGAGGGATGGGTACTCAATCATTGTATGACAGAAACATAATCATGAAAGTTTGTAAATCTGTGAAAAAAAGACAGAAAGGAAAAAAAAACTGTTCTATGGAGCTTCAACCACCAAGTTCCAATTCCTGTATTCATACAGCCGAGTTATAGTTATATGGCCATTTGTCCCCCTTCTAAATGTGTATGTCACTGTCTCTGTGCACAGTATCCCCAAGACTCAGCTCGAATATATTTTGCTAGCCTTACACATGGTTGGCCCTATTCAAAAATGGGCATCTCTACAAATAATCCCTGAGCAAAGCGAGAAGCAAGCCTTGAGCAGACCCCAATGTGACCCCAAACCCCCCTCCACCCCCAAATACTTCCTTAGAAACCATGTGACCCTACTCAGCACAGTACAATTTCACAGAAGTGTGAGGTTTGTTTCTTATGAAAAGTTATTGAATAGAATTCCTTCCTTTCAAGTCAGTGAGAACCGCAGAAGCAAAAAACCCCAAAAAACTGGCTCAGAGCATCCAAAGAACCCTGAGATACAACCTTCCTTCCTTCCTTCCTTCCTTCCTTCCTTCCTTCCTTCTTTCCTTCCTTCCTTCCTTCCTCCCTCCCTCCCTCCCTCCCTCCCTCCCTCAAGGAAAAGGTCCAAGAGGAACTCAAAGTGGCCAAAGTGACCCTTCATGCTCCAAAAGCTTCTTTTAAGTAAATATGTCTGTTCTAAGTTATGGAACATTAACCTGAAGTACAAATAAAATGGAATTTAGAGTCTTTCACTTGGTCAGTTTATTGGGAGGGAGCAGTGGAACGCAGAGTTCTCAGGTTCAACTCAAACTGAACACTTCTCATTTTTTTCTGGAGCCTTTCAGAGTGTCTCACTAGTCACAGTTCAGCGGTCTAGCTCCCTTTTTGTAAAACCAAGCTACAACATTAAAATTTTAGCATTTTAATTAAGTCACCATGTAAGTTCACCAAATTCATTTGCAACAGCAAAACAAGATGAAATTATGTACAGCACAGGGACCAATTTATCATCCCATTACTCAGGAGGAAGTCAACAAGATTTTACTTCCAGGTATAGGTGACAAATATAAAACTCCTGAGAAACTGCATGGCATGAGAAATTTCATTTCCCTTACCTCTAAATTCTTTTTCTAAAGATCTAGAAATGTGGGCTGGGGATGCAGTTCAGTGGTAAAATCCTGGGTTTTAGAGGCCCTGAGTTAGAGCCCCAGAACTGTTAGGAAAAAAATACACAATAATAATTTTTAAAATCTAGAAATGTATTTTATCCCACAGGTGAAAATAGCCTTTGTGGGTTCAGAGTGAGAACACAGCATGTAGGGTGCTTGCCTTGCATGCAACCAAACCGGGTTCAATCCCAGGAACCGCATATGGTCCTCTTCTGAGCCTGCCAAGTGATCCCTGAGCACAGAGCCAGGAGTAAGCCTTGAGCACAGGTGAGTGTTTCCCCTACTCCCAGAAGAAAAACTGCCTTTTGCTGTCAGTGATAGTTTTTTGCTTTTGTTTTGTTTTTTGGTACAGGGAGATGTCATAGGCTACCCCAGCAGAACACAAAGGCAACTCCTGGCTTTGTGTTCAGGTGTCACTCCTGTCAGTGCTGGGGATGGAAGTGGGGTTGGTATATATGCAAGACCTTCACTTTAAATCTGACCCATCTCTCCAGCCCATTGGTGGAGGATGAGGAATCAATCTTCCTCCAGAGGGTCGAAGGGAGATTAAAAAGAACCACGGAATCATGTTTCCCCAGAATAAGAGGCACCCCGGCCCCACGAAGCAGTTTCCGGGTTGGGGTGGGGAGGGACCCCTCAGACAGTCTCAGTTCCTCAGTGTCTAAGATGCTAGTGTCTCTCCATCTGGGGGAAAAGTTTCCCTTGGGCCTTGATTTCTTTCACCATGTCTGTCTTTTGTCGACATGAGTTTATTTGTGAACGGAGCATCCTGCTTAATGTGTCAGGAGCCACAACTTTCCTTGGGGACCGTGTCTGCCTGCTCTGGGCTCTGACCCAGTCCATGGATCAGGGCCGGAGCTGCCACAGGGTGTCAAGTTGCCAATAAAGACCACCGCTGCCCATAGCGATTTTAAGAGCCTGAAACCCAGAGAGCCTGTGGGGTTATTGGTCTCCCCAGAGCTGCCTGCAAAATGCAAAGTGCTCTCTGCTTTGTGGTTTGTCCCACAGGCCCTGTGTCTGCAGAGGAGAATTGAAGAGGCAAGATTCCTCCAAATACAAAACTGACACCTGGACCTCCAGAGGATAGTTTGGTTTTGTGACACGCTTGAGTGCCTACTCCTGGGTACGACTCTGTCACTTCAGGCGATTTCCCACACCTCCACCCCCAAAGCATTTCTCTAGAGTGGGTCTTTAAAGCTCATCAGGTGAATGGCGCCAATATTTCAGGAGGGTGCTGAGGCAAATGGAAAGCATCTTAGCCATCTCTAAGTGAGGGAAAACGGGGTCCCTCTCAGGAATCTCTGAGAAGCTCCCCACACCCAACTGACAAGTCCTTCCTTGAAAGGAGCGATGGGACCCCACACCCGCTCCAAACCCTCTAGCCCACCACTCTACCTGGGTGGTGCTGATGTACTTCAGGAACCTCGAGGCTTCTTCCTCCAGGGACTGTGCAGGGCCTGCCCACGGCTGCAGGTCAATGTGCCACCGGGACCCCTGCGGGGAAAGAAGGCACAGGACCATGTGTGAGGGCCCACTTGTCTGAGAGGGGGGATGTGAGGGCATGGTAGGACATGGTATCAAGTAGGGTGCACGGCTGCAGTCTGCCAGTAGAGACTTCTGCACCCAGAAGGTGGGGCTCCTGTTGCTGCTGCCCTTACCCCATCAGGGTGACAAACAGGACCTGAGCCCAGCTACCAGGTTAAGCCAGAGACAGCAAAGACCTGGGGCCAACTGAACTTGGGGTGGAAGGAGAACTCCACTGATGCTATCCGGCTCGTTCAGCTACAGTTCTGTATCATACTGTGTAGCCCCTTGAGCAAGAACAAAACCTCTGTCTTCTACTATGTCCACAGCTATGAGCCTCAGAAACTTGCCCATAGGACCCATGGAGAGAGTAGAGGGGTAGGGCTCTTGCCTTGCATTCCTCTAGCCTCCAGGGTTTACTCCTGAGCATGGAACCATGACAAGTCCATGCTAGGTATGAAAAAATGGGAAGGAAGGAGAAGGAAAAGGAAAAAAGAAGGGAAGGAAGAAGAAAAAAGGAAAAGAGGAAGGAAGGAAGGAAGGAAGGAAGGAAGAGAGGGAGGGAGGGAAGGAAGAAGAAAGCAAGAAAGGAAGGAAGGAAGGAAGGAAGGAGGGAGGGAGGGAGGGAAGAAGGGAGGAAGGAAAGAAGGGAGGGAGGAAGGAGGGAGGGAGGGAGTAGGGAGGGAGGGAAGGAAGGAAGGAGGGAAGAAGGAAGGGAGGGAGGGAGGAAAGAAGGAGGGAGGAGGGAGGGAGGGAAGAAGGGAAGAAGGGAGGAAGGAAGGGAGGGAGGGAGGATGAAAGAAGGGAAGAAGGAAAGATGGAAGAAGGGAGGAAGGAAGGAGTGGGGAGGAGGGAGGAAGGGAGGGAGGGAAGGAAGGAAAGAAGGAAGGAAGGAAGGAAGGAAGGAAGGAAGGAAGGAGGGAGGGAGGGAGGGAGGATGGAAGAAGGGAAGAAGAAAAGATGGAGGAAGGAAGGAAGGAAGGAAGGAAAGACGGATGGAGGGAGGGAGGGAGGGCGGGCAGAAAGGAAGGAAGGAAGGAAGGAAGGAAGGAAGGAAGGAAGGAAGGAAGGAAGGAAGGAAGGGAGGGACATGACGGTGCTCCCAGGAGTGACTGTTAGGGGTAAATGTGCCACCTCATCAGTAGCAAGAATGAAGGTTGCAGGGAGGCTCCAGAAGAAAATGAGCCAGACTGAGCACAGCGGGGAAGGCACTTGCTTGCACACAGACCACCTGGGTTCCATTCAGGTACCACATATGGTCCCCTGAGCCTACCGGGAGTGGTCCCTGACCACAGAAGCAGGAGTAAGCCCTGAGCACTGTTGGGTATCGCCCCCAAACAGACATGTGTGGGGGTGCTATGTACACACATTGGCCCTAACCCCCAGATCTGGATGTCAAAATTCTAATGCCCAGTGGTAAGATATTGGGAGGCAGGGCCTCTGGGAGGGGAGAGGTGGGGCCCACATTCTTGGAATTATGCTCTTCTCAGACTGATACCACAGAACTCCCTAGTGGCTGACTCTATGTATGAAAACTCAAGATGTCAACATAGAAGCACTCCTGCCTGCTGATATTTCCCTGAGACCTCAGCCTGGGGGTCACGCTGGAAGTCATCTACATTTTTTGTGGACATCTATGTCACCCCACCTACCCCCAGTCTTCTGTAGGATTCAATTTTATGACGGTCCGAATAGATAATGATTCAAGTAGGAACCATCTAGCACCCCCCAAAAAGCAACCTTCTACAGGATAGGCTGGAGCCTTTATTACCAGTATGATGGGTGACTCCTAACTGGGAAGGGAGTGCACTTAGAATTTGGGTTAAACTGACAGCAAGAAGAATGTGGACCAAGCAAGGAAGCCTGGGGTGTGGGTTTGAGGAAGGGGCAAGCACTGGCTCATGGGTCTGAGATCAGCAGAAACCCTTTGCAAGGAAGGAAGGAAGCATTTTTGCTCAGTCTAAGCATTCAGACCGGGCCTTGCCACCTGGCAGTGGCTGAACTCCCTGCAATTCTCTGGCTTCAAAAAACACCCCCAAATCATTTCCTGCTGGCTGCCTTTTCCTGGGGAATCCTCCCACAGGATCAGTTTGCATGGGACTGGGGGGGTGGGGGGGGGGGGGTGAGGGGTGGTTCGACAACCCCGGTCTTAGGAAAACCTCCTTGAGTCAATGCTTGCTGACATCGTCTTGAAATTCAATAATTTTTTTTTGAACAAAGGGCCTCTGCATTTTCATCTTGCATCAAGCCCTGCAAATTATGTTGTCAGGCTGCCCTGAGGGGCACCTCTTCAGGGAAACCAGCCTTTTCTTCCTGCAGTTCTTGTTCTGTGAACACTGAGCAGGCAGACGCTAATCAGAGACAGCCGTGCACACAGACCAATTTATCTTCCCAGTCACCACCGCCTGCTCCCACCCTGGCTCTGTCTACCTTCTCTGCTCGAGATGTTGATGGCCATTTGCCCCGACAATATTTACTGAGCGCCGGCCACTCCGTGCCAAGTGCAGATAGGAATGAAACCCAGACTGGCCCAGGGGGGCCCCAGTCACTTTGATAGGAAAATGCTGGGATGTTGCAGGGAGCCCATTTTTTCAGGTGAGCAACGTCATGATGAAGCCATAAACTGAAGCATATTTCCACACAAAGGCTTCTTCGCTTTTGCTTGTTCACATTTTTGTGTGTGTTGAAAGATCAAGAGCTCCTGCTTCCCAGGGTGCTGAGGCTACTGGGCTCAGCCAGCTTTGGGGGTGGGGGTGAGGTGTCAGGGCTGCCGGTCTGTTCTCAGTGGCCTGCAAGGCAGCACCTTAACCCCTGTAGTATCTCCCGGCCTGGCCTGGCCCATGTCAGCTTTTCCAGGCCTGGGGTTGAGAATTTCCCATCTCTTTGTCTAAGACCTACACCACCTCTCCATCCACCCCCGCAAAGCCTCAGCATTTGGTCCCGGAGTTTCTTGATGGAAATGATAAAGTTCACATACCATGGTTTGCCTGTAAATCAGTAAACTTTTCCTTGAGGGGGTCAAAGAGCAAATATTTTAGCGTTGCAGCCATTTGGTTTCTGTGGTGATTCCTCTCCTGTGAGAGCCACAGACAGTAAGTCAACAAACGGCCTGGCTGGGTTCCAGGGATATGCAAACCAGGCCGAGGCTGATCCACCAGTCAGGCTCTCCTCGATCCTGATTCAGAGGCAGACCAGCCCTGAAGAGAATGTTGACTTGAAAGAATGGAAATCAAACAGGTCAGATCTAGATAATACCCGTTTTATCATTTGGGTAAATAACAGAGGAATTTTGTGAAACGATCTTCCAAGGCGTGGGGAGGTTGTGCAGAAACCACCTGTGCTTGACAACCCAGAGAGGCCTAATTAACCCAAATCCTCAAGGAGCGAAGGAGAGGGATGAGAGGAACTGGACTCAGTCTTTGATTCAGGAGTCCAGTCAATCCTGTCACATCTGTTCTATGGCAATCCCCACCCAAGTCCTACCCACTGGGAAGGGAGAAACAAAGGAAGCCATGTTGGATTCACACAGGTCAGCTTCCTGGGGAGCAAAGCAGAAGAAACAGGGAGCAAGAGGGATCTCAAGGAGCAAACAGAAGGCCGCCTACAGAATCCTCTAGAAAGAGGCAACAGACTTGATCAGCAGGTGATGCATTTATTCTGTGGCCTTTGGACCTCCTGCTCACCTCTATGTTATAACTGAATTGGGCACAGCAGGGTAAACCAATCAATAGACAAGGGACTCTGGCAAAAACCTCTGCAGGGGGCAAAGTAAGTTCAAAGGGATGGGAGAGACAAGTATTACTCCCAAAAAAACGCCAGAAAACAAATGCAGACCTTGGGAAGCAGTCTCCGCTGTCAGGAGCCCTAGAGCGTCATTAAATAGCAACCTTAAGCACAAACAATTCACCTGGACTAACACAAAAATAATATCCCCAGTCAATGATGGTGAATCAATAGGGTAAAACTCTAGAATTATCTTAAAGGTTCCACAAACAAGGATTCACCTGCAATCTGATGGGTCTTGTTTCTGACTCACTGTTGACCAGGAAGAAATTAAACATAGCAGCTGGAACAGTAAATACTGAGTGGAGAGGTCTCGGGTAGGGATATAATAGAAACATCCAGCAAACAGATGCCCTCCGAGGTACTCTGGCTCAGAGCTTTTGGTTGAGCTGTTTAAAAAACATTTCACATAAAGCAATGTTCTTATTGGAATCGGTCTGACAGCAGTTCGTGATTATTTCCCCGAGGAAACCACTAGCTTTTATCATCTCTTTCAATTATCATTTGTCTTAATTCTCCAGTGCACACATCAATATTTGTCCTTCAAAAAACCCACGAACAGAATTCTCTGAGCACTGAAGGCACCAATGGTTGGTGTTTAGTAGATCGAGAGGAAAAAGAATTATGGTTTTCTTGGGGAAAGAAAAAATAGTTGTTATGATAATTTTACCCCAAATAATTTCCCAAATGCCAGGATACACACCATTATTCACATGCTCCATATCAAGTGGTGAAACTGGCTGCTATCCCATCAGTCCTGAGGTGGCACAAAGGGTACCACCCCCACTTCCTCTTCAGATAGTTAAAGGAGCAGCTGAAGCTGAAGATGGTCCAGGTGCTGTTGTTTGGGGCTCGGCTACTCCCCAGCATTATTATTATTATTATTATTATTATTATTATTATTATTATTTGCTTTTTGGGTCACACCCGGAGATACACAGGGGTTACTCCTGGCTCTGCACTCAGGAATTACTAAGGGGACCATATGGGATGCTCTGGCAAAAACCTCTGCAGGGGGCAAAGTAAGTTCAAAGGGATGGGAGAGACAAGTATTACTCCCAAAAAAAATGCCAGAAAACAAATGCATGGGATGGTGGGAATCGAACCCAGGTTGGCCGCATGCAAGGCAAACACCCTCCCCACTGTGCTATTGCTCCAGCCCCCTCCCCAACATTCTTGAGTAAAAA